ATGCCGGTAGCGACAAAAACTGCGAGGAACTCTGCAAAAAACGCATCTTCGCACGGGCAGCCCGTGTGTTGGCCAATTTTTTGCTAGAATGTTAGATAGTGGCGCACCGATGATAACAGCAGCGTTGGCTCATTAGCGTTCAGGAATCAAGCGTGCGATTGAAGTGGAAAGTACTAGCTCAGGTTATGCATTAGCCATTACCGACAATTTTAAAAAGCTTTACCATCTTGTGCACTTCTCAGATCCACTGGGACGTGTCTCTGTTTAGTTGAAAATCGAAGCAGAAGACCAGGGAACACCGAAGCATTCAAGCGAAACGTTTGTTGCGATCAATATTGAACCGGATGAAGCAGCCGTTCTGCCAGAAACCGAGCAGACGGCCTCCGTCCTGCCTGCCGTTGATGATTTGCAATTCTCGCGAAGAAACTACTCGTAACTATTAAAACCTAATTTAGACTTGAAATGCGATTTTCGAGTTTTTTTTCCGAAATCTGAGTATTACCGTTTAGAGCTTCGCTGTCGGAATCAGTGCGTCCACCGCATCTGCTACTCGTTCTGCCAGTGTTAAACAAGCCAAGCGACAAGCGCTTCATAATATGTTCCATTATTTCGGGCAATAAAGGCGGTAAGTTGCTCGGTATTCTCTGTCCACCCTCCATATCCTTTCAAAAATCTGAAACACACCGGCTCTAATTTTTATAATTTCAACTTCGGATTATGCGAAAGTTTATTTTTGATTCAAAGAAAAACTGACCACATTTTTGAAGAGTTATTTTTCAGGCGCCTTTAGTATTTTGTCTGGGTCGGACGGTAACTGTGAACTTCGTACACAGATGCAACTGGATCGAGAATCGACGGAGCATTATCACTTGAACGTAAGTGTGAAAAGTGAACAGGAGCTGCCGGATTACGCCACTGTCGAAGTAACTGTACTGGATGCCAATGATAATGCTCCAAAATTCATCTACCCGAATAACGGTCAACTCAGCAACGGATATTTCGCAGCTCTGGCCATTGGCGCCCCTGCTCATACCCATCTCGTTACTGTAAAGGTGACTTCACTTACTTAAAACATTTGACAGGCTTCTGCTTGCTGAGTTTTCATTCGTTTAATGCCCCGGGACAAGGAGTCTTCAATAGCAATATGCAAAAAAAAAAAAAAAAAAAACAAGGATATGAGTTTATGAAATGTAATACCATGCCCTTACTAGCGTTTCGTACAAGCCACCTAGCTTTGCGCATTCCCTTCTTATTTCATATTAGCACGAATTAACGCTGCAGCTTCTGGATTGGAGCAGCATCTAAATATCATTGTAAAAGCGTTTTATACAGGCAGAAGATGCAGATGCGGGAAACAGCAGTTCGGTCGTATATTCGTTAGATCCATTTTCTGTGGACTCAAAATATTTTGAGTGCGGCCAGTCCGGAGAAATTTTCACCAAACTCAGTGTTGTACAAATGATCGAAAAGAGTCGAAAAGATTCATTTGAGTTTCGGGTGAGTTCCAGTGAAAAAAAACTAACAACGATACTTCGAGATGTCGGCCCACTGAGGTGTCGTAACATCCATCTTCGTAGTTACAAGTTCTAATGCTACAGCAATATCGACCAAACTTATGTCCTAAAATGCTTGCAGGTCGCTGCTTGTAATGCTCCGCTACTTGGGCAGAAACTGTGTACGAAAGCAGATGTCTTTGTAAACGTGATCAGTGATGCTAACCGATTTATTACTACGACATCTAACATGGATTCAGAACGACGTACGATTGCCGAAAGAGTAGGGTTTTGTGTTCTGTGACGAAATCGCATGTACATTTAATATAGGAGCTGCACACGTTGAGAAACTAAATAATCATACTTCCGGGAATTTCGTTATCGATGTAGATTTTAACACTTACATACAATTACAAGCGTAACTATTTATCACGGAGTTATCTAATCTACCGATTTTATAATTGAACAAGACAAACAAGTAATGGAAATAACGAGTAATTAGCAGGTAATAAATTGGATTTTACTACTTAACATCATATCTTTTCTATTCCTATCATTACTTCTATCTCTTTAAGGTCTTCCAATTCTTCTACTCTTTTCATTTCTTCCGATTTTCATCTCTTTCATCTATTTAATTCTTACACCTCACTAAATTATATTGTTACCACAGACGTCGTATTGACGAGGTCCAACTGTGGTAATAGTAAGAAATGTATACGACTTAATGAACCGAAACATTTCTTACCACTTTAATAATTCTTTACAACCCTTTCATCTCTTTTTTTCTTATTTTCTCCAAAACCCTAAATACGAGACTATACGCTAAAATCAACTTCCAGACCTTTCATTGCCCCGACATTTGAACACTGGTCCAAATTTGGCGACTGATTTTGGAGTAAATAATACTACAAACTAAAAATTTCAAAAACAGCTTATTCACCCCCCC